TCACTGGAATCCACAAACCCGTTGGTTTGCTGCCATTGGATCCGGAAAGAAAACTTGAGCTTCTAAGACCATGGTTCTTGGCAGTCGTATAATTAGCAGACCATCTGGTCTGGGGTCCTGCTAGACATGACCATGCAGATTCGGAGTTTCGACCAGGGCGCATGTGCCAGTGAAATCTACAACCCGTTGGGTTTGGGTCAAAAGACCTGACACCTACACAAAAGGCAATTCGTGGGCTTCCGTGGTTCGACATTGTCCTGGGCCAATTCCCGAAAATCATGTTGAAAGGAAACTTGATGGGTGACTGAGGGTACAAACCCCCTTTGTGAGGCCACGATGAGGTGTTCAAATTGTGGGAACCATGGTGCTTCCAGTGAGCCACGAATCTCCTGAAAGCTCTACGTGGCGTTTCTCGGAACCACAAAACCCCGGAAAATCTACTTTTGGAGTGTCTCTGCAAGGGTGGGTGTTCAAGTCCTTGACAACTGCGCACAGAACTGGCAGCACGCAACAAGCGCCCTGGAAAAGAATTGCATCAGCCGGGAATCGAGCCGGCAGCATGTTCCGTGCGCATGTTGCGAAACAAATTTGAAAGCTCGCGGGGCCCGCCACATTTAGTTGGTAACACTAACACGTCGCGCTCTCGCCGTAGGCTGTAGAGCCCTCTGAGCCTCAGTTTTTCAGCGGGGGTTTTAGAACACTGGGGGATAAGAGACGTTTCCACTGGGGAAATAGGGAGGGCTAGCAGCCCAGATCCCCTGCTAAAAGTCTACCTTTTAGTGGTTTAAGTGAAAACTGCCGCTAAACCCAAACAACGAAAAAACCTAAGGGCACCAGGACATGATACACATTCTTCTCTTCTCATGACTAAACGTAGTTTTAAATAACCCCAACACCTCATGTCCTACGAAACTCCGCTGATCTTGGGGCAAGTGTTGCAATTCCCAAGCTCGAAGTAGGGATCCGGATCCGGATCCCTCCAAGGCAGCTCGCAGCTGTTTTACTGAAGAGAGCTCGAAGCAATTTGTCCAGAAGACCCTGCTGGATGGGAGAAAAGCGTGCTCGAGTTTGGAGGCTGATCTAAAATAGGTTTCCTAAAGTGGCAACGCTGTCCTTTCGGTTTCCCTTGAAACTACAAATGCCGACCCAAAGCGGGTCCAAATCCCAGCTCAAGAAACACTCGCACATTTGAAGGAAAGCCTCAACCACCAGACCGGGTTGAGTGTTTGCTTCCAAAATCTGGTGACCCACATTGCAGAAGGATCCAAAATGCACTTTGGTTGCCGCTTCGAGCTGCTTGCATACATTTAGCAAGCCCCGATCTTCCTCTGGGGTGGATTTCCCTGCAGTAAACTTGATGGGTTCCGAGTCAGCAATAGGTGCCCAAAATGGAACCCCGGCAAATGGAAAGACGGCCAAAACCTGGTGGTTTCATTTTGACCGCGAAGAAGCCCCTGGACGCTGCCCCAAGCATCCGAATCGAAGCATCGATCGATGCCCTGCCGCGTCGAGGTTCCCAGGGGCGCTCTTCGGGCTGTCGCACTCGGTCCAGGCAAGGCCTAGCAACAACTTGGCGCGAGTCGGCCCATGTGGGGTGCGATTGAATCAGTATGTGCGAAACAAACTCTAGTCGACCCTTGGGAAAGAATTGGAGGCCCCTGCAAACGCTGAATCATTTGTTTGAAAGGGAACATGAGGAAACGCCAAAAAGGAGAAAAGTTGCAGAGGTTGGCTTAGCCCGGCAATAAGAAATCCAAACATCATGAACCATCTTGGTTCTCAGGCACCAGCTCATCACCATAGCGATTTGGATCCGAACGTAGGCTTCAGCTTCCGTCAAGTCCAGAAACTGGGGCAAGTGAGTGGTTTTCCCCCAACTGGTTTTGGGGAGCTACCTGAATGGCATGGAATACCCTCGGACCGTGGCAACTCACCATGCGTGGTTGGAGTCTCAACCCAAGCCATGGACAATGTGTTCCCCACACCAAAAATGTTTCATCCCCACACCAAAAGAAGAATCGGCACACATTCTTTGGGTGGCTTGAGAAGGGCAAAAGGGCACTAGATAGTCGTACACTGTTGAAAATGGTCGTTCCAGTCACCTTCCTTTGTTCCCTCTTGGTTTCGAATCAATCCTTTCGTGACATGCCGAGGGGGTGGATGGACCTGTGTCATTGGGTCAGAAAGCAAATTGGAATCGGGGAGTGGAGGGGGAGGAAGGATATCCCGTGCTGCTAGCCAGAAGCCTTTTCTTCCGATGTGGATTGCCCAAAGCTTGTGCAACCTTTTGTCTGTTGGTCCCACTAAATAACGGGTATGTCTCTTTTTAGGGGGCGCCCAAACTGGCTCCGGTCTTCTTCTTTAGACCAGCCCAAATGGATACCTTCAAAGACACGCAAATGGATACCTTCAACACGCAAAGTCAAAACTCCCACCGCAAGCTCCGAGCTCCCCGGCGGCATTCGAACTGCGCGGGCGTCCCAGACTTCTCGGACTTTGAGCCGGCCCTGCCGGTCTTGGGGTCTTCCGGTCTGTGGCTCCGAAGGGAAACCGGGTGGACACCTCGAATTCGGCTCGTTGGTAAACCAGACTCAAGTCTCCGACCTCGAGGAATTTGTGGCTCGCACGGAAGCGCGGTCAAAACCCTAAAGGAGACCCTGCTAGGATTGACCACAGTGTTGAAGGATGCCACGTTGATGGGGCCACTGCTGAGTGATGTTTGGGTTATATTGGGGTACTATCAAACGAGTCGCAATTTTTGTGACCGAGTTTCTTCCCGTTGAACCAAACAAACACGCACCCACCCTCCCTGCTGCTCCCCGCCTGTCTGCCGGATAGGCTGAAAAATCGGACACCGCGGGCATCGCTCAAAGTCTGGCAAGCACCGGCAATTTCGGGCGGAAGAGAGAAAACACCGGCAGGGCGAAAGGCGCGGCGTGCCAATTGGAATCGATGTGTCCTGGACCTGCGCGGAGAGTCCTGCGCTTGCCGTTCTGCGCTGAGAAAAGGGCGGCAGGACATCAAGAGAGAACCACAAAGCACCACCTCACGGTCCCAATAGACCAAAAACCCAGGCCCATCTTTTAGAATATATATTTATATATATATATATATATATATGTATATATACATATATACATATATATATATATAGATAGATAGATATGCATATGTGTGTATGTGTGCGTGTGCATATATATCTGGTACGAACTGGTTCATTTCAACCGTCACAGAATGCCTGCAAAAGGTGATCAGGTGCTGGTTGAAAGGTGATCAGTTTCCTTCAACCTAGCCCGGTTGCACTGGAAGCCTACCTCAGTTCCCTAAAAGGGTGGAATTTCCAACCCAGGTGCCCTGCGGACGAACCTAGCGGTTTTACCAGTGAGGTATCTCGGGGGCACCTGCTGTGGGATGGCCGGGCCTGTCAGGCTGACTTACGGGGCCGATAGTTTAGAGGTGGTCCATCTGCGTTCCAATATCGCCCAATGGCTCGCTAGTGTCAAAGGAGCCTGGACAGTAGCTTGCCTCCCCACAAGGAGCCCCATACGAACAATAGATTGCGAGTAAGTACACAAACAAGCCTAACAAAATCGAGGAAAAGAAACCAACTAACCAGGATAACACGCAAAACAACACAAACACAACCAAACTAAGCCAAACTAAACCAAACTAAATCAAACCAAACGAAACAAAGCACAAAACCGCCAAACCCAACCCATGCCAACCCACCCATCGTGAGAGGCACGCTGTTTACTCGGCATGGGCAGTCACGCAAGCGCATCCTCACGATGAACGGTGCACAGGTCGCAGAACATGAGCCGGAGCTTGTGGGCTGATTCCGCCTAACCCAGGGCCAATTTGGACCTCTTTGGAGGCTGGCGTGTCACAAAGCTATAATATAACAAAATAGAACTAACAGCCTATGACATTGAGCCTCTGACATTGATGTTAAAGAATGTTTGTGTATCTTCAATCCCTGTTTGGGCACGTACCACCTGCACAAATGGCCAGCGGCTTTGTGCGCCGACGATGTTGCGCCGGAAGCCAATGGGTCAAACATGGGCGAGATCATCTCTTCGAACATTGGATGTCAAGCCTTCAAGGTGTTCCTTCACTCAGCGAGCGCAGTTCCACGACCAGGGCGGGCGTTTTGACGCCAAAAAACGGGCCGATCGCTCCAATCGGCCCGCTGCCGATCTATGAATGAAACCAGCTCCCCCAAGTAGATACGTTCCTGATGGGCAGTAGAACGTCTACCCTTGTTCTCTTCCCAACCAAGGTGCAAGATGGGAAGTGAGAGGTCGGATGTTTCGTGTTTCGACATGGCGGTTCCTACCTGAAATGGTGATTGGAAGCACTGCAGCTGGGACCGCGGGCCCCGCTTGGCGGGTTCCGGAGAGTTGGAGGTCGCGAGCCGGGACTCTGACGAAACAATCAGTATTGTTCGTCGGTTTTGCAGTTTGACATTGTTTTCCGGTTGGTTGTTCCATGTAATGCTGCTTTGCCTGCTTTTCTTCGCTTGTTTTGATCTCATACAGACTACACTCGCTGTAATTCACAAGGGGGCTTCATCACGATTGTGGAACAAATACGGCAGAAGGTCATTTGCTTCAACATCTCATTTAGGCTTCCCTTGTGCCCGGCGATTTTTGGGTCGCTTGGTCGTCCAGCTTTTCCCCAACTCCTGGGGTGCGACGTGGCTCGGCTGGACCCTCGCACACGAGTTCACACTCGGGCGGTCAAATGGGCCTACGTAGTGACACTCTTTCTCAATTTTTCTGTGGGTGTCCATGGGTTGGCAGGTGATGACTCATTAAAATGGTCCCGGACATTCCAAGAATGCAAACAAATATCCGCACCTTCTGGCCGTTGGCCGCAGTTTCAAGCACAAGGTCTCAAAGAGAAGCCCAAGCCAAAAATCGGCCCCTGGGAAGGCGAAGCCGGCCCGGAAAATCGAAACCCGATTCGGCGTTCTTTCTTTTCTTCTTTTCTAGCTTTTCGGGGGGGCAGAGGGGGGGGGGGGCAGCCTATCTTTTTTACAGTGCAGTGCAGAGGAAAGGACGCCTGATGCGAAATGCAGATCGCAGGCTCGGGTGCATCCCATCAATGGAGCTTTTCCCAAGCTTCGCAACCGACAATCCCTCGGGGTCACAGGCAGGGACCAACGCCCTTGGTGAATTAAGGTGGGAGGCATCCCCCGGCTTCACCTTAAAGGGAGCTTCCTTGGTATCGCGGAAACTCCAAAGCCGTGAAATGTATGTTTTTCCGGAAGCATGCCCTTGTTGAAACACGTTTACAAGTCCCTTGCTTCAACAGCCTCCTGATTTCCCTTTGGCGACCCGAAGCCTCCAACCAATTTTGACCCAGGCGAATGGCAACATGCCTTCCAGGCTGAGGCAAACCCAAAGAAAGCCAAATCAACTGAAGGAAGATTAGAAGCAAGCCCCTTCCCCAAAGGCCTGCTGAAATGACTGGCCACAAGTGTAAACTGTGGGGGCCTGTTCTCACAAACAAAAAAAGAAGAGAAGCTTGAGGCGTGCCAAGCAAACAGGTGAGATGAAGAACCCACAACAAGTTTGACAATGAACCAGGTAAGTCTCCTGTGCCACTAAACCACATGCCGGCCAAGTGTGTCACTTCCCCGACTTTCAGGTGCTCAAAAGGTATGCCCAACGTGGCTCGCTCCATCCGATCACCGCCACACGGTCACCTTCCGCTCCACCTGGTTCCACCAGTACTGCCCGGGCGGCAGCTTGGCTGAGGACTGCGCCTTCCGGACCTGGGAAAGAAATCTGGGGGGTTCTTGAAGCGAATACTCTGCCCCAGGCTACCATGGAAGCTCCCAAGACTTTGGAAGACTTGGTTCCATTTACAAAGGCCTGGGAGCTTCCATGTTCTGAGGGAGTGCAAAAACTCATCGCTTTTAGATGCGCTCTCAAAGGAATCTGTGCCAAATGGTTGGTTTCCTGTTGGCTTGCCTTGAAACAAGCAAGAGTTGGTCCCCCAAATTGAGAGAGACTCTTGTACCGGATGTTGACCAAGTCCAGTGGTCTCTTATTTCCGTTGTTCTTCTTTTTGCACGAGGGATTCCCTTTAAGATCGCCAATCAGGGATCTGGGCTTGGAGTAAAGAGTTCATCCATGGATTCGAATTTGGGTCACACGAAAAATATGGGTCTCTGTTGACATGAGTTAGACTTACACGGTGTCGGACGGGCCCCCCCCCAAAAAAAACAACAAGGAATGCCAGACGCCACACGTGCGCTCGGAGGTTGGAGGCCCCCGGAAACTGGAGCCCGGCCTGCGCCGCCAACAGCAGCTGGGACTTCGCCTGGCTGTGTGTCGAGATACCTTTGGCCCCGACAGACTTTTGCTTTGAAACAGGCCCTGCAAAAAGAGTACCTTCCAAAAACACAAGCATCACAAACACAAATTACAAGAACGAGCACAAACACAAACAGAAACACCAACACCAACACCAACACCAACACAAACACAAACACAAAAACTCACACAAAAACGCACACACACACAAACAAAACACACACACACACACAAACAAAACACACTTGATATGAGACGGCAACAATGCAAGGGCGCATCCCCAAGTACCTGAAAAGTGGAGTTTCGTCAGCTAGCCTTCCCGATCTGTTCGCTCGCCGCGGCTACTCGTCAGTGCCCATGACTACCGCGACGAGGTACTAAGAAAGGGGTCGGTTTGCTGGCATGGGCATACTCCAATAAAGAGAGAGAGGCACGACCGCAGAACCCCTTAGGAACAGGGGGGCCACACACACACCCCCCGCAGGGGGGAAAAAACCACAAAACGCCCGAAACGCAACACTCAAAAGAACAGCCAACTTCTGAAAGCCGCCTCCATCATGATTCCCGATGGGTGATTTGGTCCGTTTGTGGAACTCCTGCCTATGCTCAATTGCTCGCGGCCATTTTGACATGTGGCATCACCGCCTAGGTTCAGGTGCATTGGTTCGAAATTGTTGCCTTCTGATGCTGTTCCTTCACCTTTCTGAGGCGCTCCAGGCTCTTCCAGCGCTGCGTGACATCCGCGATGGACCGGTTGAGCTTCTTGGCCAGCGATTTGTACGAGTACTTGGACCGGCTGTCCGCTTTCAGGCTGCAAAGCTGCTGGTCATCTTCCTCTGTCCAGGCGCGAGGTACTTCCGGAGGAGTTCCTGGGTTGCCGGCATCGGAGTGAGCACGAGCAGGAGGTTCAGGAAGGGATTCAGGAGAGGAGAACAGGCCCGCGCAAGGAGAGACCGGAGCTGGCGCTGGAGTGCGAGGTGCCGGACGTGCTGGAGGTTCCGGGGAATTCGTCTTCTCGGAGGATGTAGCGCGGCATCGCTTCCGCTTTGTTCTGCGTCGATCGGTCCCACCCTTGTCCATGATGGAACTGGGAATATTGGCCTTCTTGATGCTCGGCTGACCAGCATAGGTGTGCGCCATGGAGCTCTTCGGGCGCGGGTCTATAGCCTCGTTGGCGTCCCCCGTGATGATGCCGTAGGACAACGACTTGGGGTTAGCCACGGCGTTGTGCTCGTGGTCCACGTGTAGCTGGAGTGACTGAAAGTCGACTGGTGGTGGAGGGTCGGCCAGATCCTCCGAGTTGACCCAATGCAGAATCCCGGGGCCAGGTGGTTCCACCTCATCGAGTCCAGCATGATCGTGTGCTCGCGGTCGCGATGATTCTGCCAGCGAGAGACCTCGGACATGTTGCTGCCGCACGCGATCGTGCCCGCCATGAAGCCTGCGACTGTGTGCCTCGTCAGCCTGATTCAGAGTCTCCTGGATGAGCTGCATCATGTCCGCAGCGTTCTGGGTCATCCGGTGGTGAAGTGCTATCATGCGTCCGAGCATGACGACCGCTTTCCGATGTCGGCGAGCAGGCCCACGTCTTGAACCACCAGACAAGCTCCGTGATAAACACAAGAGTCAAGGGACCCCGGAACCCAAACAGAAACAGAAAAAACCCCGAGCGCAACAGCCCAACCGAGCCAGACCCGGCTTGGAAGAAGACCGAAACAGAACAAAACCAACAAGAGCGAGCCACACAGTCAAACATCGAAAAACAACGACAATCAGCACGTAAACGTTCTTTCCGGTTGGGATGGCCGGAAGATGAAACAGGTGCTGCAGGTCAGCTGACTTGTAGCCGGCGGACAAATAGATACTGCGAAGCTGATCCAACGCCATCTGTACTGCTCGGGCCGGGTGCGCGTACTTGGTAGCGAGGGCTGACCGTGACCTGGCCCCGGAGAGAAGAGTGGAAAGACTTCCTGCAGTGTGGGGTCCTCTGATCTGCCAGATTTTTGTTGGGGTTTTGTAGTAAATCGCACGGTCGCCCACGTCAATCACGAAGCCGAGGAACTCAGAGGAACCCACCTGTTCCAACACGATGGGTGCACCATACAAGTCAGCTTGAAGCAAAGCCTCCAATGGGGCTGCTGGGTGACCGGAAGCCGGAGACGGGAAGATCACAAATCTGTTGTCGGCATATCGCTCCAAGAAGATGTTGTGACTGGCGAACCATTGTCCGTAAATACGCTGCCAAAGAACTTCGTGCCTCGCGACGCAGATGTGACTGAGAACTGGGCTCAGCTGAGAGCCAATCGCTGTTCCGTGGACTTGGCGCAGAATGAGAGTCCCCACCTGGACATACATGCATTGGAAGCTGGATTTGACTATATCCAGGATGTCCTCCACATAAATGACCCGCGTAGTCGGCGTACGTCCGTAGGATTGCTTACCCGCAAAAACCCGGTTGTAGTGGACCGCCGCCTGAGTTTCCACCGAATAGATGAGACCAGGATGCTCTCGCCGGTGCTCTGCTAATAGCTGCTCGACTGCTGCGCACACCTGATCTTGAGGGACACTGTTGAAGAAGCCGACCAAATCGTCGTTGTGAAATGCGAGGGTGACTGTATCGTCTGTGTTGTCAAAGTATTGTTTGACGTTCTGCCATATCCTCGGCGTGGGGTGTACCCCCCACGAACTCTTCCATGTACTCGCGGCGATCTCGCCTAGGAGGATTGCAACCGCCTTAAAGAGCTGCCGATGTACCACCTTATGGTAGGCTATAATAGTCCGCCCCGATTTCCATTGCTTCTTGCGTTTGAGAAAGACTTTTCCAACCGGGATCGCGGTGGTCTTCTTCCTGTATGCCCATTTGTACCTCTTCTGCAAGTGTCGGGGGATAGCTTCAACAATAAGAGCCCCAGCTTGGTCGGGCTTCAGTGGAGTGGCGGCAAATGTGCCTGACTGAAGCCAGGTGTTGTGGAGGCCTTTGAAGTAGAGTTGGGGGCAGAAGAACATGAGGTGGTGGTTGTCATGATCCTCGTTATGGCACACAAAGTCCTGGCCGAGGTGTCGATGCAGGATGTTCAGCTGGTGCTTGGTGAGGAGTTGATGGGTGGACGCGTGCTGCCGATGTTTCTGAAATTGACTGCGTAGGTGCTGCATGAGGGGTGCGTGGAACTGGTCCAGGGGCAGGCCATGGTGCAAGCACCATTTTCGTAGGCGTTCATGAACCTGCACTTCGTAAACTGAAAGGTCCACATAATATGACGCCAGGGCTGAGGTGTAATGAACGTGCTGGGGGGTTCCCGGAAACCGGAACTCATCCAATCCCGCGGCCACATGGCCTTGAACATGAGATAGCCAGGGCTGGCGTTTTAGCCAGGCTGCGCACTGACACGATGATGGTCCGGCGGATGTCAAAAGGTAGCAGTCCTGAAACGACGAGAAGTTCCACATAACTGTATGAACCCGAGGATGAGGGGTCTCTGCCAACTGCGTGCTGGGCAAGTGAAATGGGAGAGCCCAGTTGCGGTGGTCGAGAACAAGCCGACGAAGTACTTCCCTGGTGGACCGCTGATAATGGGGATGGGACAGCCACGGTAATCGCAATAACAAGTTGATCTTGGGTTGCTGAAGTTGACGGAAATCAAGAACTCTTCGCAAAATATTCCGAACTCGATGCCGGTGGGGCTGTTCCACATTGCCGGACAGCCTGTATATAGCATATATATCCAAGTCTGAATGCCGTCCACTACGAAGTCGTTTTTCTTCCTCCCAGGATTCAATGTGCTCCGAGGTGAGGCGAGCGATGATGGACCAGGCTTGGGTGTGTTTGAGCGCCACCCGATGGAAGTTCCTGCCATAGACTGTGCAACTCCTCCTGCGCAAGCGGAGGAAAAGGCGTTTGCCGAACCTGGACCAGGGCTGTTCTGCAAGAAACCTGGTAGCCGTATAGCCGGTGGAAATGCGCTTGTACCGCCGATAAATGTAGGGCCAATTGAGGGACGGCTGATAGATGCTAATCAAGGCGTGTTCCTGGGTCCAGGTGACTGCGTGGTCGGAGTCTGTCAGGATGACCCATGTAGCAAACTCGTCATAGTTGCCGAAGTGATGCCACCATCTGAGGGCCGGCTCCGCATTGATAAACTGTCCGTGCTGAATACCCAGTAACTTGGCCCTACGATTGTGTTCTCGACTAGGATAAGTGATGCTGGTGCTTCCGATGTATACGTCCGACTGCGGGTTGACGGAGCGTGGAAGGTCCGGGCGGAGTTCGACTCGCTGCTTCCAGTACACTGCGTTGGGCTGCAAGAAGTGGGTGAATGTGTACATGACAACGGGTGGATGCGCAAACGTCGGAGTCGGCGTCTGAGTTCCGTGAGTGCATGCGTGGGACGACCATAGTGATGAATCATCAACAGCGTGGACATTGACTCGGACCACATAGATAGTTGCTTGTTGACCATCGGCATGTTGAGGATTTGGCGACTCGTGACGATGATCAGATAAAGAACCTGATAATACTGGTAGGCTGCATGCACATCGAGGGAGTCCCCGAGTCTGGTTGCAATAAGCGCAGTGATGTAGGGAAGGAAATAATCGGTGCCATGCTGCAAGCTCTGGCCAAGACGGCTCAGGAATACCATAGTGTCTGGCTGCACTGTAAAGCTCTGACCGTTCATACTTGCTGTAGAGTTGCAAAAGAAGAACCGTCTCTGGAGATTGAATGACCGGCATGGCTTAGCCATGCATCCAACGCTCGAGCACTGAACGGTTAATTGGGTCAACTGGAAACATCGGAAAAGCCCCGACCCGCGACCCCGAGAAAAACAGGAAAACGAAAAAGAAGGAGAAAAGGCAGCTGATGGTCTCAGGGCAAGGTGCAAGCGTGATGAGCAGCGGGCTTTTTGTGCCAGTCGTGTCAATGGTGCTAACTTCCCTCCTCGTGAGCGCTACCGCCGCTCCCCTCACTTGCCATACATGTACATAACCGTGATGAACTGCAGGAGTGCTCGCTTCGATCCCTTGCTCACTAAGGAGATTGGGGCCCCCCATTTGACTGCAATGGTTTTCAACTGCTCCACTGTGTCGGATGCCAGCTCCTGCTTGATGAGATCAAGGTAGGTCGCTTGGTTGGACAGCGTGCGTTCGTGTTGCCATGCCTTGAAGACCTTGTCCGTGAGGCTGGTGGGAAGTGGTACCTGTTGACCTTTGGGATTTCCTTGACGTAGAAGTTCTGAGTCTAGCGTAATATCCGGGGCAGTCTCCGGGGTTTTTCTCTTTGCCGGTCGTCGCTTAGGGGCTGGATCAGCCTCTGGAGATGGAACTGGTAGGGGAGGTCCTTGAGCATCTGAGTTGGCCGCATTGATGTAGAGGGACTGGTCAGAGCGGCCGGGCGTGGGGGTCCAGGACGCGGCATTGGAAGGTGACGAGGATGGCAGCTTCTTATCCGGTGTAAGAGTGATGCCCTTGTTCTTGTAGCGCTCCAGCTGTTGTTCCAATTCGGCAATTTTGTGGCGAGTGAGGTTTTCCTGCTTTGCGGGCTGCAACGACTCCATGAGATCCACGATTTTGAGCGCAAGTGGCTCCATAAACTGCATAGCCTCATTGCGCTTATCCGGCGCATTGTCCGCGTGGAGAGAGCGAGCTGTCCTGTCGATGTCGACCTCCCTGCCTCTCAATGCTTTGAGAATGGATGTCAATAAGACTGCCTCGGCTATCGTCTGAGCCATGACTGGTGTGCTGTATCGCCCATTTGACAGCGCTCGTAATGCGTGATCTTCTGATCCTCCTCGAAGAAGTCGTGTCAGTGGAAGATCCAGGATAGCTGTTCCTGCGAGCCCGACCCTTCTGGACCACTGAGTAGGCTGAACGTGACGGTACAGCTGCAGACCACGGACCTCCGTCTTGTCGAGGAAGATGTCGTCAGATTGGAAGGTGCTGGGGAGTAGCTGCGAGTATCGAGGCTGAGTGTACTGCGTTGCATCACCTTGGCCTAGAGGTGCCCGAACTGGAGGTTGAACTGGCGGTGCTGGTGGTGGAGGACGAAGACCTGTCTGCATGTGGTTTGTTCCACCACCGTGATAGTTGCAAAACTGACCGGGAGGTTGAGGAGGAAACTGGTGAGCCATATGTGGGGGTCGAGGAGGATTGACGCGAGGCGCTGCTTCCTCTCGAGGTTGATGTTGCAAGGGTTCCATCCGATTGGAGCTCAAATATACCTCCTGCTGGGACTGCGGAACTGACCATGATGGAAGATACGAGGATCCCGGATGCGAAGAGGAGGAGGGTGCCGATGCCGCCGGCCATGAATAGTTCCACTGAGAAGCCATCACGAGATGGGAGTTTGCCGTCAACACTGCTAATGGGTTAAAAGCTAGGGATACGCCACACATTGCCGAGACAGCAGACATTGTCAAAACGGCACCCGAATTTCAACCAGGCTCAGGGCAGTTTGAAACCGGGAAACAGCAGTAGTCACACGAAGCATCAAAAAAGGAAAAAGAACCCGCAGTAAGGCCAACACATGCTTGAATGAGGCTCTGGCGTGCACTTTTTGTCGCAAAATATCGTCGGTGGTCGAAGACGGCAGTGTGGCGAAGTATGCTCTTATTCGCAATGAAACATCATTAATTGTCATTGGTTACAGCAGCTCCTGGTGCAGGTTCACGAGCGGAGGACACCGGTGGGTGGCTTTGCATCGGTAGGCCATGCGAGTCCAACGATCTGACTTGCCTCCGGGATCACCATCCAACACTTGCCCGACACATAGTGGATGACATCAGGACGCTCACTGGAATCCAGGGCCTCAATGCAAGCTTGCTCTCCTCCCGATCGAATCGGCTGACAGGTGCCGACAGCGCGTCCAAACAACAGCAATTGGGCCATGTTAAAAGACATGCTCCAGTTCTGGCTCATCGTGCGAGCAATTTCTTCAGCGTCGTAGTCGGCGTGTCCAGTGATCTTCCAGCCCTGGGCGTAAAAGGCTGGGCACTCCGAGGAGTGCTGCCGGGAAGGATGGATCTGTCGGCTCCGCAGGATGCCTCGAGTACCGCCGACACTGGATGCGTGAGTCCAGAGCAGCATGGGTCGCGTCTTCGTCGGTTCTTTGAGCCGAACTGTGGCGCCAAGGTAGGGGACGGTCAGCATGAACCAGTGCGGGGTGATCTTATAAAAGTGATGTTCCGGGTTGACCTTCGCATAGTTCAGAGTGGAGTGCTGAGACGGTATGCCGGCTGCATTCAAGGTAGCGGCCACATAGTCCATCTGCTCCTGATTGACTGGGATCCCATCGCGGAGATACGGTGCGGCAAGCACCTGAAGTTCGTTCCTCCAGGGGTCAGACTCCGGGTTGGGAAGCAGGATCAGCGGTGGGTGCGCCTGCGGATTTGGGCGTAGTTGCATGCTCCTCGAGGACGACCCCACATCTGGGTGAGCACCTGTGGCCTTTGAGGCTGGAGCCGATGGGGCACTGCTTCTGCTACGCGGAAGTGGAGATCGATTGCTTCTCGGTCGCCGGGATGAGGCTTTAGTTGCCGTAGGCGCCCGGGATGAGGACTTAGCTGCTGTGGGCGCCGACGCGGCAAGATCCGATGCTGCCGTGATGGAGTTGTCCGATGTTGAGTCCCTTCGGGAGATCGGTGGTGGCGTCCTGGAGCGAGCTCGACCTCGCCGCTGTGGGGGCACTGACTTGGAGTAGGGGGAAGCGTTGTGGGAACGTGACCGATCTCCCTCCGTTGTGTGGCGTGACCTGGATGGTGGGTTGGGCGGTGGAAGCATCTGACCTGATGGGGTTGCCGTAGGGATCGGTGCGATAGGGGTCGGTGCTGTGGTCATAGGTGGGCATGCTGTAGTTGAAGCTGTTGGGGTAGTTGGCGTCATTGGAGTCATTGGAGTCATCGGTGTGGCCGGGCGTGCTTTCACCAGGATTTGCGGCAGAGGGCCAGCTACTGATGCAGGCCAGACATGCAAGGTAGGGATCGATGCCGAGGCGTCGCCGGGAGCAGGAGCCGGAACCGCAGGTTTGGTAGCCCTTGAGGTGCTGGACACCGCGCAAGATATGCTAGAAGCTGGTGTCACAAGCGCACTCCTGCTCGGTGATGCTGTCTGGTGCACTGGTGACCTGGGCGGCGTAGGGCCGGCAGTGTTCCTGGATGCCTTGGTCATGGGGCCTGCTGAGTTCGACATCGGACCTGCGTTGGGGCGAGGCATCTGTTGCCGACAATTGCGAGCCAAGAGCAAGCTGACGGCGTCATGATTTCTCACCTGATGTGTCGGGTGGTCTGGTGGGTTGTCAAACAGTTGGTCCGACAGAAAAGGTTCACGGAAACAGTCTGGGGTGCCGGAAGGTCTGGGAGAAGTCCAAGCCTGTATTGAGAAGGTCAGCTGGAACAGTCAAGCGTCACGAGCGACAAGGTCCGGTAACTGTCTGTAGAAAATGTCATTGCATGAGTCGGAACAGATGCCCACAACAGGGATCAAGACACTGACCGAAGCCCGGACGCAGTGCCTAAACACACTTGATATGAGACGGCAACAATGCAAGGGCGCATCCCCAAGTACCTGAAAAGTGGAGTTTCGTCAGCTAGCCTTCCCGATCTGTTCGCTCGCCGCGGCTACTCGTCAGTGCCCATGACTACCGCGACGAGGTACTAAGAAAGGGGTCGGTTTGCTGGCATGGGCATACTCCAATAAAGAGAGAGAGGCACGACCGCAGAACCCCTTAGGAACAGGGGGGCCACACACACACACACACAAACAAAACACACACACACACACACAAACAAAACACACACACGCACGTACGCACGCGCGTGCACATACCACACACACACACACGCGCGCGCATGCGCACGCACGCACGCACGCACGCACGCACGCACGCACGCACGCACCCACCCACACACACACACGCACACACGGACACAAGTAGTTAGGGAATGGATTAAGAGTGTATTGGTAGAAGTGGTTCGACAGTGCTCTAAACCCAGTGGGGGAGCCGTGCGTGCCATAAGCGCAGCCCAGACAGGCGGTTTTCATGTTTGGCCGAGTTAAGTCGTTCGCCACCTTGGATATGCAAGGTCACCATTACCTCGTCGGCGCTTTCAGCGTGGCAAAGCTGGGTTACTGACCACTGAATTGGCCGAACTGAACCCGAAACCCGAAACCCTGCAAAGTGGCAGTTCGGAGGCGGGTTTTAAACATGTGCGATGCGCCACCCCAACAATTGTTCTTTCCCCAGTCCCAGCTCACCCGCTCGGCCTGGTTGGCCACCTTTGGGTCATGGCTCTGACTCTGCAAGGGCTCGCTGATCAGCTGTGCCGCTGAGCGCTGGGGGGGCACCACCAGCAGCCTCGAGCACTTCTCAATCCGTTTCTATTCGTTGATGGAACAGAGCTGCAAGGGGGCCATGAAATGGGCCGTGTTGCTTCCAACTGGGGGGTTTGAAGTTGCAAGCTCGGGAAAACGAACGGCACCCAGTCAGATGGGAAAGGACTTTCTATTGGATAGCACCCGCGCTTTGGGCAAAGGACTCCGTACTCCAAACAACTAGCCCCTGTGGCAAAGGTGAGATGTTCGCCGATACACTGAACGAGACAGCCCAAAAACCAGCATGCCGGCAATCTGTTTCGCTGCTGCGACGCTGTGTTCGACACCATTTGCCCTGCGCCGTCTGCGCTTTTATGCTTCGCGGCGAAGCCACATCCCGGGATCCCAACGCTTACCTTGGGTTAAAATCTTTCGGGAGTACTAAGTTTGGTTCCCTTGGGCCCAGGTTCACGTGTAGCGCGCCTCCGCACCTCTGCCCGGCGGGCGGGCACAGGCGCCTTGAGCGCGGGGTCCGAGCAGCTCCGGCGCATGTTGCGGGGCACTCCTGACGGAGCGCTGGGCCGATACCCCCCATGAATTTTCACCGAATCGGCGTCATTCAGAAGTTCCTTCAAAATCCAGACTGTGAGTTTGTGGCAAGGGGAACCCCTGGTTTTCCTGGCTTCCGTTTTTCCCGACCCAAAAAGAACCATGGCAAAAACCTGGCAACCGACCAACGCCAAGACGTGGAGACCTGACAAACACCGTGCCACTCCTCGGGAAAACGAAAAAAGCCACTCTTCGCGCACTCGGGCACGGATTCCGCGCTTCGAGCCAATTCTCGCGAAGCCTGGCTACGATCGGCAACCAAAAAGCTTAGCTATACTTCGCAACCAGACAGCGAAAGGTTAAAGGTCCAACCCAAATTGTCCGAATACCCGAATGTTGTTTTGGTGACGTTTGGAAAATGGGAAAGACATGTTTGTACCAAAGCGGATATAGGATGTAACAGGAAGCCACGGATTTTCCTCCACATGCGAATTTCCTGGGAGGGGTGATCGCGTTTTGGCGTCGGTGTCTGGTGCGCAGACCCATTGTCAATTCTTCGCAACCATCTGACTTGAGAGTGGCCAAAGAGTCCACACTCTTGTTTGCCGCTAAGAATTAAAAAACATCCCAAAAAGCAAAAAAAGGCCCATGGACTCAGGCAGTGAGTTGACTTTTGCGCTGATGGAAAAACAAATGGAGATCACCCACGGTAACCCAAGTTCTGCTGTTTGTGCAAGGCAGCAAGGCAAAAGGGCTTGGATGTGCGCAAAACAAACACCACCAAACAACCACAACGATCATCACAAAGACCTGGACCCATACTTCCCCATAGGTATCCTTCTACCGACACCGTCTCTTCTTGTGGGGCAAATGCACGCGGGCCTTCTGCACTTAGGCTTTCAAAACCCGGGGCTCTGGATGCGTGACAAACAGCACTATTGGTTCCACCCCCCTGTTCAGACCCCCCCAGCTATCGGTGTTTGGTGGTAACATTGTCACGATGTTCCACGGGTATAGCCAGAATCACTGCCAAACCCTGATTTTGTGTTCAAACTTGCGCACATTGCGCGGCGATCCTCAGCTTTTCGGCTCCCCTGCTGAACATGAGCCGCGGTCAAAACGAATGTTCTCCAGGCGCCTTTGTCCAGGGGCCCCTTGTACCAGGCCCATCAAATCGCCCCAAATAGCCCAAGGCGGTTGACTGACGATTTTTGCTGGTGTATGCCAAATTAAAATCGAGCTTTGGCTCATGTTTGCTTGTTCTCTTCTTTCAACCCAAGTGCGACATTGGGGCTGCAAGAGTTTGCCGCCGACGGATTAGTTGGGACGCCTGTCCAAGCGCAGAGCAAACGATGCGGAAGAAAGCAAAGCACACACCCCTGAGGCGCAGGGCGAAATTGCTCCTGCCCTGCTGAAGTCCCCCGAACATGTGCGAGCGGCTTTACTTGGCCTTCAACCTTCACCATTGGACACTCACTGAGGTGGCCAATCCGATGTGGGTTTCTGAAGTTTGCCTTCGATTTGGATAGGTGTCAAAACTGGACATTTCTCCAGTTGGGACACTTCTCCAATCGACACCCATTTTTTTCGCCCAAGCGCCAGAGCAGAGCACGTAACTCCCTGAGGCATACAGCCAATGGCTGGAAATGCAAGGCGCAGCTGCTCCTGACAATGTCCTGACAATGACCTCGAAATGATGAAATGATGTTATCAGATAGGTCAAAACGTGGCTGAAGTCCCCGAGTTCCTGTGGCTTTGGCCTTCAACACGAGGCTTTCCACGCCAACTCTGACTTCAAAAGCAACATGGCCTGAAGCTTGAAACACTCAGCTCGAGCTTGATGGACTTTCAGCATCAGGTTTTGGAAAACTAGGGCGATTCAAGCCTAGTTGGCCTAGGAAAAGAATGAGACCGGCTGCAATTGCAGTGCATCTCCGAAAAATAAAAATCGGCAACGCTCCGCACGAAAGCCGCTCAAAATACAAGGCGAGTCGCCCACGAAACACGCTTCGTCGCTAAAGAGAGTCTGCTTTTTCCCCATCTCATTTTGGATTCCATTGGAAAAACCAAATGGGCTGAGCTATCGGCGGACAGCTTGCTTTCGCGCAGGCTGCATCTGGACTTTCGGTCCTACCGTCCGTACAGACCGGCGGCTCATACACTTCGGATCCGTGCGCGGATCCCCAAGCGGCATGTGCTGGCAAACCAGCACCAGCCTGACAAAGAATGCAACTAAAGGTTTAGTTGCAGCCCGTGTTGCCATAGCCGGACTTATCCTGCCAGCACAAAACTGCTGCATGCGGCGAAGAGGAAGCGGTCTGCCAACGTCTCGGCTTGTTTGGGGACTCTTTACACAGGCTTCCCTATACTTCCCCTATCACCCCGGAAAAAGGAAGCTCAGTGCCCAAAAGGTGATGCGTGATGCTTCAGACCACCTTTTTGGGGGCAAAAACGGAGAACCTTGCTAGAATTCTACCCAGTCCATTGGATCCCTTCAGGGAAACCGTCTCAACGTGCACCGAGTGTGTCGCTCTCTTTGAACCCGAACTCGACATCAGCAACACTAGGTGATTCGTTTTGGCAACGCAACCCTCAGGTCTGATCAATTGAAACAAGTGAAAAGCTTCATGCAGAGAGATGCTAGCAGGGAGCTCCAACTTGGAACGCAACATGAGAAGCTTCGTGCAACGCAAAGCTTCCACATATGCACTCCGCCACTAACAAGTCTACGAGAGGGGGGATTGTGTCCAACACGCAATCTGCGCAGCCAGTTTCCAAAGGAGGCATAAACCCTTTTTGTGGCTGTTCAGTCCCTGGGTGTTGTGGTTTGGCAGTGGCAACCATTTTAGAATGAAGAGCAAATTGGGATCTCATGAGGGCCCTTACCTGTCGGCGAAAGGTAAGCCGAAGCCAAGCTAAACGCAACCGCGACTTCAGGTGCCAGCTTGGGGGCTGACCGCGCTGACCGCTTGCTTTGCGCGCCTGAAAACGACCGTTAAGGTCTCAGAAGTGGCAGGTGCCAGCCGGGCGCCCATTCTTTGGTAACTTTTCTGGGAGTTCCTTGGTATTCAAATGGAAAATAGAAGGGGATCCAAATTTGAGAAAAATCCACGCCCGACACGCAGCAGCCAAAGAATCCATATTCCGTACCGCTGGCCAGGGGGCCCGTGGCTTGGTCACATCTTCAGCCCATGTTGCCACGCGCGCCAAGAGGCAAATCGAGCCAGTGTCTCAACTTGCAGGTCCAAGATGGTTGCTGTTCTTTGTAGCCCCAAAAAAAGACGCACTCAACTCTGGTGTCCCAAAAGGGTTCTGCGGCTTGAGGGCCCAGTCTGAATTGAGACTCCGGCTCGCATGTCTCCTGAGTGCCCTCCCCCGCCAAGCTGAAACAGGGAAATGGCTGACGATCACCTTGATACTTAACAGGCTTCCCTTGTCACAATAGGTAATCACCACTGTGTCACTCCCAAAAGCTTGAGCGGCTGCGTCAAGCTCGCCACACGCTCGATGTTGAACAAAAACGCATCAGGCGGTGAAATAGGCAACACTCCCCACCATTTAGCCGTCCAAATCTGAGGTCGGCCAAAGTGGATCACCCCAACACAAATGTTTAAAATTTACGGGAAAAATCCCCAACAGAATAGCCCTCCAAAATTCAGGTCTGCTTTTGCCACCCAGGGTCCCGTTTTGGCCGTGTTTTGGACATTTCCAGCCTGGCTGTCGCCCTGCGAACTAACAATTCAGGATGCATCTGGCTGGACATCAGTATCTTGCGCGCAGGCCATGTTCTATGCTTGCGAGCCTCCAAAGAAAAGCTGGAACAAGGAAACAACCCGCTTGGGCTGAGCCAAGCACACCATCCAACTGGTGGATTGAGCTCGTGTTGCCGTCGCAAAGCGGGACTAGGCCCGTGCAAAAGTGTTCTCCCAAACGTTCCGTGGGAGCGTTTGGTGCACCGCAGCTGCGGAACTGCGCAAGGGTGCTAGACCAAAACTAATCCCCTGACTGAGCCTCTCCTTCGCCCTGGCTTTGGCGCTCGGGCCACACAGACCGTCAAGCCTGTGGGAAAGTGGCGGACATGCATGGCAATTCATCTTGGATCCTTTTGAAGCGTCCAACTAGCGTCTTCAGGAAACAACCAGACACATCCTAACCTGACCCAACCCTTCTGGGGCGAGCGTCTGGCTTTGTGGGCGGGGGCTTTGTACCGCTGGGCAATAGACTAAATCCTTTCATACAAGGGAGTGCGGTTGCGTGTGAACCTGGGGGGTGTTGGGTTTGGGCCACTTGTCCAGCATCCCCAGCTTCGTAGCATCCTCAGCACCAAATGGTGTGCCTAGAGCACGTGAGAAAATCGGGGCAAACGGCAGGTCCCTAGCTGTGCCTTGTGAGGACTTTCCGCATTGACAGAGAACCTTGCAAACAAAAACCGTGTTTTTGTTTGACTACCTCCCTGGCTGCCCTGAGGTGGCTGGGAGCACTTGCTTCACCAACAAGCAATATCCTCCAGGCTGGTCAGGTTGGTTGGTTAGCGACTTGATTGAGCTCTTAATAAGGGCGGGTCATTAGGCTTGGCATCTCTCACCCCACAACCAATCCCAACTAGCCCATCCTAAAAACAACAACCTGGCGCAAATCATCTCCAAGCCAACCAAACCGACCCAACGGCAACCATCCTGGAAATGAACGCCAACCAAGCCCATAACCTGCCCTCATTGCGATCACAGCAAGCCCGAAACTCACTCGAAAGCAGCCCAACGCCAAAGCCAAGAGGGGGATAGCGGCCAGCTGCTGGCCAGCCGTCCAGCCGGCCGGCCAACCAACAAACCGACAGACCAACAAACCAACACCAACCCAACCAGCATTTTCAAGGAAACAATCAGACAACCGCAGCTTTCATCCTAGCCCGGAAGAGCGCTTGAGGCGGGGTGGCTTTGTGCCGCTGGGCAATTTTCAGATGGTGCCCCCTTTCGTACACGAAATCCTTTCATACGAGGGGCTGCGGAACACACCAACAAGTGTTCGAGTTCCCCTTGGCCACTTTTCCGGCATCTCCAGCATCCTTCCGGCATCCTCAGCACCAAATGGCGTGCCTAGGCCAAACGACAGGTTTTTACATGAGAGCGTGTCCAAATTGGCAGAGGACCTTGCAACAAATACCATACACCTCCAGCTTGGGCCTGGTTGGCCAGGCTGTTGGTTCCCCGCATTACCGCCTTGCTGAGAGCTGAATTTGGGCGGGCCTTGGGTCAACCAATCCCAAACCTCCTATAACCACACAGCAAAACAACCC